TGGAAGAGACGCACAGGGCAAGACATGGGGGAGGGGCACAGAGGTCCCATGTCCTCTGCGGCTGTGCCACCCTCTCAGCACCTCCATGTGTTCAGGAACTCAGAAGTCTCCGAACCCCATACTTTGGGGATTTTTATGGAGGTTTCATCACGTAGCCATGATAGATTATTAACTCTCTGGAGGTAGGGCTGAAATCTCCAAGCTTCTAATCATGGCTTGGTCTTTCTAGTGACCAGCCCTCACCTAGGGCCCACCAAAAGTCGCCTCATTAGAACAAAAGAGGCTCCTGTCACCCAGGAAGTCCCAAGGGTGTAGGAGCTCCATGTCAGGAACCAAGGTGTTTTATAAGTGCTATTCTAAATACATCCCTTTGGGGGAAAATGAGGCTGCAGAGGGCGAGTGCTCTGACAGGAGTGAGTACCAACTAGAACCCAGATCTCGTGATTTCTGGTCCCAGTTCTAACCATAACCCCATCCTGCCTGACATTCCTCTGTGAGCTGAACAAACAAACAAATGAAACCCAGGATACTCCATGTGGTGAAGATGGAAACCCAGACGGGGCCTGCCACCCTACGCTGACGCAGCACTGAGCCCATACCCAGAAGAGCACATGCAGTGCTGGAGCTGAGCCAGGAAGGACACAGCAGAGGGACAGGGACACAGTGCAAAACACACCTGGAAAGGCGCCCAGTGAACAACTGCTGCTGGAAGGACCGCACAGAGCGGGTCTCGAACTTTAAAGGTACATGTGTGTGCGTATATGTGTCAGACTGGGCAGAGTTTATGTCACATGTTAAACTGTAGGTAGAATCATGCTTTCATGCAAAGTCTTCTTCAGTTAAATACAACCGTCCTTTGAGTAAGCGTTGCCGTAGGCAGTTGGCGTTGGGAGAGCAGCCTGTCTGTGAAAAGGCAAGTCTGGGGCCCCTGGCAGAAAGGAGTGCCCGTGCCCAGCGGACACCCAGCCGGGAGAGTGCTGTCCGCCCGCACCCTCTGCCCTCAGCTCAGTGCCGCCGTCTCCCTGACGCCTGGGGAGTCCTGCTGTGGTCAGAGAGAGGAGACGTCCTCAGGGTGTCTGCGGATGGTGCCCACCCCATCACGAGGATATCCCGCGGCCCCTGACCCGCCATCTGTGAGCAAAGTGGCAACTTCGTATAAGAAGTGGGTCCAGGGCTCCTCTGTACCCCAAATTCTTGCCACTTAGAGCATGTTACAAGAGTCTGAATTCCATCACTGAGCTTTATTCTCTGCTGCAGACGGAGGATCCCTTCATGTAGCTACTTCCTGATGGGGCTAAGTCACGGCTGCCCATGCAAAAACTAGGCGGGTAATCATCTCATAGGACCTTGAGGCTCTGAGACCCTGGACAGACAAGCTTTGCTGGGGATTAGAGGAGAAACGGAAGCATGGAGTTGATGCCAGGGAGAGCAGGCACAGTTTGGGGGTGAAGACAGCAGCCCAGACTCTCTCCAGGAGCACAAGGAGTGGGGACGGAGTGAGGAGGAACCCAGACCCTCCACTCGGGTACAGACACCAAGACCTGGCTTCTCAGGCCAGACTGACATCAGGGTTGTTGGGGTAAAGCAGGTACCAGAGAGGAAACCAGGCATCTGGCTTTTGGCCTCGGTCTCAGAGCTCTAACATGGGAGCAGGCAGCAATGGGCAGGTGGAAGAGAGCAGGAAGCTCCCAGGGCTTCCCTGGGCCTCCTCTGCTAGAGAGAGGGCATCCCAAAGGTGCCTGATCTCGCCCTGTCGTGACCCCAAGCCAGGGCCCACTCACTCCCTGGCTCATGCCCACCCTGCTGTCACGAAGGCCTGGTCCTGGCTCGTCTCTCTGTCCTCTTCCGGTTCACTGGGAACTCTCTGCTCTTTCCCTCCATGCCTTTTCCCGGTCCATGTCTCTGCTCTTCCTACACCCCCTACATGGTGGGGACTGCCCTCCCCACCATCACCCTGTTCCTGAATTCTGTTCCAAATCTTCCCCACTCTTCCTGGCTGTATTAGTTTTCAACGGCTGCCATAACAAGTTACCAGGAGCTTAGCAGCTTAAAACAACACAAATGTTGTATCCCACAGCTCTTAGGTCAGTCATCCCACACAGGCATCACTGAACTAAAACCAAGGTGTCAGCAGGGCTGTGTCCCCCTGGAGGCTCTAGAAGAGAATCCGTTTCTTTGCTTTACCAGCTTCTAGAGGGCCCCACATTCCTCGGCTCTTGACCCCTTCCTCCACCTTCAGTCTCTCCGACCCTGCTTCTGCCATCACATCTCCTTCTCTGACCACAACCAGAGAAGGTTCTCATCTTTGAAGGACTCGTCTGATTAGATTGGGCCCACTTGGATAATCCAGGATACTCTGCCCAGCCCAAGGGCCTCCATTTAATCACATATGCAAAGTCCCTTTCGCAGTGTAATGTCACTTATTCACAGGTTCCAGGGAATAGGATATGGACATCTAGGGGGGCCGTTAGTCTGCCTACCACACTGGCCAGCTCCAGCAGCCCCCTACCCTCCAAGCCTCGTCTCTACCATTCAGGGCTGCCCCAGCCCTTGGCCTAGGTTTCCCTCAGGTCTGCGGGCCTTCCTCCTGCACAACTCTTACCACCCTGAGTTGTCTGCTTGTTGATTTGTCATTTTCCTGCAATAAACTTCCAGTTCCGTGAGAGTGGGGACAGGTTTGCCCTGTTTACTGATAAGCCCACAGCAATTAGCAAGGGTCCAGCACACAGTGCTCAAGAACTATTTTAGTGGGGAAAATCTTCTTCGACACATCACTTTCTACACTAAATTACATCCTGGCCGAATGATTTCTCCTCTACAACACCATCTGCTTCTTAAAAGCAGGGTTCACCTGTGGCTTGTCTGTTGTGTCCCCTGGGGCATCTGGGAACATGCTCGGCACATGTCGTGGAATTGAATTGAATACATAGGTTCAGACTCATCTCGATAGCCTGGCTCTTACATGCAGGGCACACAGGGGACACGTGGGAGCAAGGTGCCCTGGGTCGGGCAGGGCTACTTGGGAAAAGTTTCTGTAAGGGAAGTGTGTGGGGCAGAGGTTTGAAAGAGATGAAGGATAAGGATTGGCAGGGCAGTGGGGTGATGACATCCTCCGGAGGACTGGTGTGAGCAGAGTCAGATGTGGGAGACAGCTGGTGGGGAGTGAGCAGGGACCAGACGGGGTGCGGGAGGGCAGACGTGGCCAAAAGGCTTGGACGAGGGGTCTGGATTGGATGCGACAGGGTGCTATGAGGGATTACCGGGCAATGAGCCGGGTGCTGACAACAGGACTAGGGGAAGGTGCGAGGGAAGCAGGGGGCCAGAGGAAGGGAGTGCACTTCAGGGAGCGGAGTGCTGGCGAGGCAAGACGCAAGCAGGGTGTGAAAGCTGTCCCTGAGGAACACTGAGACAGACTCGATGTGGAGGCAGCAGAGAGCAAAGATAACCTGACACCACAGTCTGGGGCCTGAGAAACCCAGGATGCTGGCACAGTGAGGAAAGCAGGAGCCTCACTTCCATCTGACGGGAAGACGGTGAGCTCAGCATTGGGTACCTTTAGTGCTGGGGTCAGAGGGTCAGGCATTGGAGGGGACCAGACTCAGCCCCAGACTACTGTCCCCATGAAGGTCTCCACTGCCACATAGGAGGTGTTTTTCCAGTGCCTGAACTGTCCCTCGGCCCCCACGTGGCAGGCATCCTGTCTCTGCCCCAGCCTGCTCACCACAGCCCTCATTCTAGAACCAACCCCCACCCCGCCGTGCCAGCCACTGTTCCAGGTGCTTTGTCCACACAGACTCACATAGACCCTCACGACAACGCTAAAGGTAGGTAATATTACCCCTATTGTATGGGTGTGGAAACCGAGGCTCCAGAAGGATAAGCCGACCACTCAAATTCTCACCACCAGGAAGGATTCATGCCCCAGTCATTCTCGCCCCAAAGCCCAGGAGCTCTGTGTCACCCCTCCTGCCTGGCCTCCCACCAGGTTTGATTTAATTCCTCCCAACCCAGTTTAGCAAACACTTCCTGAGACCCACCAAGTGTAGGGCGCCCTGCCAGACAGTGAGGACGTGAAGAGGAGTAAGACAGAAGTAGGGGCGACAAGCACACACCTGACGACCTCCACACCCAGTGGCTGCCACAGTCCAGAGATTCTGCCTGGACCCAGCCCATACGCTGGTTCCAGCACCAACCTCAAGGGTGGACCACATCAAGCCACCAACTTTCCAATCAACTCCTTTCACAGATAAAGACACTGAGGCCAGAGAGGGGCCGTGTCATCTCCAGGGTAACACAGCTGCTTATGCCTGAGCCAGGACAGAAACCCAGGTGTCCTCACCCTGGGTCTGCTCCCCTAGACTCGGATGGCTCCTCGTTCCTTCACAGCTGGCGAGAAGCCCTCGTCTGCCCCTCAGCAGCCTGGACCGACCTCCTTCCCTCCCCGGGGCTGGCCCTGCACACCTAGCCTCCGTCCATCTGCCAGGTCCAGAACCAGCACCTGCGCGGGGAGACAGGCTGAGGGGCTGTTGTGCACGCTCCAGAGCCAGCAACCCCCAACATGCCGGCCCCCCTCCCTCCTGCTCCTCAGGGTGGGGAGATGGCGAGTAGAGGTGGTGCCGCGGGGTAAGGCCCCCTGCAGCAAAGACGCTAAAATGACATTTCCAGATTGTGAATGAGGACAAAGCCTCTTAATCTCTTTTTACCGTTATTGTTGTTGTTCCCAGCGTATTGTTGATAAAGTGCTTTCTCTTTAAAACAGCAAGATGGAACAAGCGTAGCCCGGCTCAGAAACCGCTCAGGTTTTACGATAGGAGGAGGGGCTCAGCGCGGCAGAGGGAGTTTTACAAGCCACACAAAGGCGACGCTCCCTTTTCTGGTCTGGTCGGGTTTGAGAAATGCCTGCCTCTCCCTTGCGCGGAAGACTCAAGCCCAGGCGAAGGTGGGTCTTGTTGCCTTGGCGACAGCGAGTTGGGCTGAGCGGCTGCCCCGGCAGCCAATAGCAGCCTGGAGGGGCGGGGCCAGCTGTGTCCTGCGCGGCAGCGGCGGGGCTCGCAGGTTAGGGACGCGGCGTGGGGGAGGGGCGCGGGGGGGGTCTCGTGGGCCCAGGGGATCGCAGACCGGCTCGAGACGCCGGGGGCGGTGGCCACTGTCCCCGGCTGTCGAGTCGGGGCACCCGGACCCCGCACCCGGAGTTCCCGTCGGCCCTGCGGAGGGAGGAGCTGCGGGGCGGCACGGGCGGCGATGGCGGAGGACAGGGGGACGAGCCGGGGCCGGGGCCGGGGCCGGGGGCACCCGAGGTCCTCAGGAGGTCCCGTCTGCCGGGCGCACCAGGTGGGCGGCGGAGAGCCGAGACTGGGAGAGAAGGCAAGCAGCATTGGGCCCCCGGGTTTAGAAGGCCCTGGAGCCTGGAGCCCAGCCCCCAACCCCATTCCCACGTCCGGCTGGACGGCGAGGGGGCCCAGAGTGCTGGCCGAGGCCGCCCCGCCCTCTTCCGACTCCATGTTCCTTTTCCAGGTGTCGGGTCTGGCCGGCCCCCGCAGCCTGAGAAGCATGAAGCTGCTGTGTTTGGTGGTCGTGGTCGGCTGTTTACTGGTGCCCCCGGCTCAAGGCAACAAGGTGAGAGGGGAGAGCCAGCAGCGCCTCGGGCACGACCACCCTGCCCACGGACAGGGCTGCCCCAGAGGTAGCTGCTGCCCAACTGTGCCCCTCACTCCCCTGGGGGCCATACGTCTGGGGGTGTTTTCCCAGGCGCAAGACTCCAAGGGGTGAGTGGTGGGGCACAGAGGTTCTGGATCAGATACCCTCGAGGTGGAATCCACAAGGGATTTTGTGTTTGGGGAAGTTGTGTAAGTTCTGCACTCCTTCCTCTGCTGGGTAGAGGAGAAGTGTTGGTCTACACTGTCTTAGGGGGAATCCGGTGATGTGGTGAGTAGACATGCTCTGAGTGTGAAGTCCTGCACAGAGGAAGCTTCTGTGATTGAGGGGCCCAGCCTGAGTGCTGGGGCTCCTGATGAACTGCCTGTCTTGCCGGGTAGATGACCGGAGCTTTATTGGGTAGGTCTGTGGAATTTGAGATTCAGAAGATCAGGAGACCGTGAAGTAAGATCGAGTCTGAGTCTGCGACTTGCTTCCACTCTCTCCGGGGAAATCCGACTTGGAATGAAGATGTGTGCGGCGTCTCCTCCCCATTCGGAGAGGAGGGACGTGCAGAGGGGTGCTTGAGTATTCCCTGGAAACATCCCCTTTTTCTCTTCACCCTGCCCTTTCCTTCCTCAGTCCCAACCTGGGAAGTTGGAGATGGAACGGAAGGAAGAGGCTGGCCACCGAGACGGATGGGCAGAGGTGCACACGCAGCTGTGGGCCCAGGGTAGAGGACTGCCACTTCTCCTGCTGTGCCCCGCCCCCCCAGCACCCCACTGGGGACTGGCAGCCCTCGGCAGCTCTCTGTTAGTCTCATTTGCCACCTGGACAGTTTCTGTCTTGAGAACCCTGTGCTGTAGCATTCTTCCTACAGAAGTCATTCCTGCTGACCTTGGGGATGGGGCAAGGTCGAGAGCATTCATATGGTCACCTTATGGACCAGGGAACTGAATGTTGAGCGTCTTGCTAGACCCCAAACTCTGGGACCCTGCCTCCCTGATATGTACTTTCTCTTCTAGAGTTCTCAAGATATCCGGTGCAAATGCATCTGTCCGCCATACAGGAACATCAGTGGACACATTTACAACCAGAATGTGTCGCAGAAGGACTGGTAAGGCACTGCACAGGCTGGCCCTTGGCTGCTGCACCTAGTGGAAGTTATGGGTGTTTACGAGGGTTCCTGGACCCCTGGAGGACCCTGCTCTCCCATTCCTATGGAGAACCTTACAAAGGAATGTTTTGTCCGTGGTCCGACAACTAACTGGAAATGGGATCCAGATGTCTTGAATTCCAGCTTAGGGATTCCTGGTCAGAGGAGTGGATTTTGTTATTTTGCTTTGATTTGGGCATTTATTAACGTATGCCAAATGGTAGTGGAGAAGTTGGGAGAGGTAGGTACTATGGCCACATACTGTGGGATCTTTTGCATACTTGCACACTTTTGCAACACTCTGTTATGTATGCTATTCAGTGCCAGTCTCATGACAGCCTTGTAAGATGGGTAGGTTATGTTCCCATTTTATAATTGCAGAGACTGAGGCCCAAAGAGAGAACTTAAATTACACTCCTGGAGTCTTGAATTCGTTTCTGCAGGCCTCACTTCTAAAAGGAGAGAAATAACCACAAATTCATTCAGGGAAAGAAGACCAGCGTTTGAAGGGAAGTTCCAACATATTGTCCTAGAAGGGACGGTTTGAGGAACTGGAGAGAGTCTGAAGAGGAGAGATCTTGGGCCACATGGTGGCTCACAAGGAGAAGGGCTGGCATGCTCTGGGAGGTGGGCATGTGAAGTCAGGGGCTTGTGAGTCTCAGTTATGTTCATTGTGGTCTTTGGTGTAGAATTGGAGCCAATGGATGGAAGCTTCAGGGACCCAGATTGAACTGTGAGTGGAGGGAGCATTTCTAATCCGGGCTGTTTCAGGAGCTGGGAAGCCCTGTGCTAGGAGGGATCTGAGCACAGATGGGTGATTGCTTGATAAGGTCTCTGTAGATGGGATCAGCATCTCATGGGGGGCCAGGTCAGTGTTGCCTACACTTGGTTGTGCATTAGGATTGTCAGGTGGGCTTTGAGGAAGTACAGATTCCCAGCACTCCCTCTCCCTGAGATTTGGTTTAAGGTGTACCACATGATGACATGATACAGGTATATATTGTGAAACAGCTACCACAGTAAGGTTAGTTAACACCTCCATCACCTCACGTAATTACCTTGTGTGTGTGTGTGTGTGTGTGTCTGTGTGGTGAGGACATTGAGATCCACTCTCTTAGCCCCTTTCACTATATAATCTAGTATTAACTACAGTCATCATGCTGTACGTTCCATGCATACTTGATTCAGTAAATATGGGGGGACAGTAACCTTTTCTTAAAGGTCCTCGAGTGATTAGGATGCAGATGTTGGTCCAGAGCAGCATTTGGGAATTTTGAAGCCGTCCCACCCCGAGAGAGTCTGGTTTCCTGAGAGGCAGTCCAGGTAGGTGCACAGACTCTGGGTCTGGCCTGCCTGGCTTCAAATGTAGCTTGGCCACTTGTTCATTGTGGGATAAGTGACTTAACCTCCAGTGCACTTCCATTACCTCATCCGTAAAATGGTGGCGGTATTTTGAGTATTAAATAAGCGTGCGTGTGTGCATGTACGTAGAAGTCAGTACAGTCATGAGCCACATAACGACGTTCTGGTCAATGACGGATCACATATACGATGGTGGTCCCATAAGATGAGTACCATACAGCCCAGGTGTGTAATAGGCTACACCATCTAGGCGTGTGTAAGTACACTATATGACGTTCACACAACGAAATCGCTTAACGACGCATTTCTCAGAACACATCCCCGCCATTAAGCGATGCGTGACTATATAGCACTTAGAAGAGTACCTGGCACGTAGTAAGTGCCGTATAAGTGTTAGCTGATATTGTTACGAACATATATTACCAATCCTTACCAGAGGCCCCGTAGATAATCGTCATCAGACGTACACCACGGCCCCAGACAGCCTGGGCTCCTTCCCACACTGGACTGTTCCCTCTGTTCTTGCCCATCCTGATGGGTACACAAGGCCCTAAGACCTGAAGTCCTGGGAGGAGCCCCTGCGACCTCCTTGTGTCTGTGATTATAGTTCAGATGACATCAGTAAATAAACTGATAGACTGTCTCCGCCCTTCACCAGATCATAAGGCTGCATCCCACAGGCCCTGGCAGATTTTAGAAGCTGGGTCTCTGCCCTGGGATTGCAGCATGGCCTGAAAACCCAGGCTCGGCTGCCCACAGAGGCAGGAGTCCTGCGTGGACCTCTCAGCTGTTGTTTACGTCCTTCCACTTACAAGTCAGAATTAGGGGGCTGCTGATGAACAGTCTTAAATCTAGACCCTCAGGACTGTCCCGTGAAGGGTGGTAGGTGGAAGTGAGGCTGGGAAAGAAGATCCAGGATTCTAGAACCCAGCGACATTGGCGTTGGCCTTGTCCCGGGCTGCCTGGAGCCCCTTAGGGGTGGGGCGGGACCTTGACCTGTGACCTCAGCTCCTCACTGCTAGGCCAGCAGAGACCAGTGTGTCTCCAGGTCTCTGCCACATTGACACCCTGGTGTCACATTGGTCCCCTGCTAGGAGGACAGCTATGCCCTCCCCTGGCTGTGCAGAGCGAGGCCAGGACAGCCTGAGCTGCAGGCCCCTGGGTGGCTGGTTTTCTGCTGTCTAGTGTTGGGCGTTGTTAAGCACACGCCTACAGAGGGGCAGAAAGCCAACAACTTTGCCCCCCTGGTGGGTCCCCCGAGGAGACATGGTCTAGAGACAGTCCCAGAGCAGGCAAGAAGCTGATACGTTGGCTCATTCAGTGTCTTCATATGTCTACAGATACAATTCCTCCAACAAACCTGTTTCAGAGCACAATGTGTAAAACAAAGTCAGAAGTGAAGTGTCCCTCAGCCCTTTCTCACGCCCTCCTGCACCATGGGGTCTGGGGTACCCACAAGAGCACAGTGTAAAAGCCTGCTCGAGTTCAGCCTTTGTTCATAAATGAGGAAACCCAGGGAGGTTAAATCAGTTACCTACAATCCCAGAGTGCATAGAAGAGCAGAGAGCCAAAGCCAGCTCGTCGTCCTCTGTCACCCTCTCCCCTAATGTGCTCGGACCAGTCCATGCAGTCTCGATAGCACGGACCCCCAAAAGGTAAACGAGATCCTTCAGAGAGCAAGAACGTGTTTAGAGTTTCACTGATTCTCTGAAGAGCCAGACACGGCAGAAATATGTCAACTCCTCCTTTGCGTTCCCCTACCCCTTACAGCCTATTCCTGAGTAACAGGACCCAACCTGAAGAGCTCGCGTTGGGCCCTTCCAGCTGCCCTGACACCGCTCCTTGGCCTTGTGGGGAATCCACTCATCCCACGGAAGTGCCAGGACCCCACGTGGCTTGGCAAGGGAGGAATCTGGTCCTCAGGAGAATTGTAGCAACTCCCTGGAGAAGGGAGGTCCCAGGAGTGATGACCAGGCCAGGTGTGACCCTGGCCTCGTCCATCACTGCTCCCCGCAGCGGCAGCGCTCAGGATCTGAGAGCGTGCGTTTAGTTATGGCAGAGAAGGACTGTTCACCCAGCAGGGAGTGCTGTGTTGGAAGCTGCTACCCAGAGACGGAACTGGGATCACTGGAGGTTTAAATAAAACTGTATACATCTTACACTGGGGGGTGGGGGGGGGCTGTTTTTGTTTTTTTTTTTTTGGTGAGGAAGATTAGCCATGAGCTAACATCTGTTGCCAATCCCCCTCTTTTTTGCTGAGGAAGATTGGCCCTGGGCTAACATCCGTGCCCATCTTCCTCTACTTTATATGTGGGACGCTGACACAGCATGGGGTGACAAGCGGTATCACACAGGGTTTTTAGGGGGAACAGAGGCTTTTAGAGGACATCCTGTTTGTATTTCAACACCTGATCTTCACATCACACACTCTCGATGCTTCTGCAGGAAACTCAGCCTGCATCTAGCAGGACCCTGGGATAGCTCAGAACAAGCCTGGCTGCTTTCAGGGGTCTGTGCTCGGCTCTTGCAGGATGCCCGTCAGAGCTGGAAGGGCCTTACAGGTCCTGGGGTAGGACCCCTGCCACTCACAGAGGAGAGGACAGGCCCCCGCGGCAGAGAGGACAGCCCAGGCCTGGCTGTCCACTGCAGCATGACGCCTGGTGTGCCTCTGCCAGCCTCTGAGGGTGTTTGCTTTTTCCTAGTGCTGAGTTCTTTAGGGTCCTGGGCTCGCTCAGTGTGGTCTGCGAGCCAGACAAGGTGGACACACCATGCTCTGAGGACCGCTGGGATTGAGACCAGCACAGGCCCCTACAGCCGAGCGTCGGTGCAGCAACGGTGAGGCCAGGGGTCTGTTGTGGGTCCTGGCCTCACCATCGTGACGCAGTCACTCGTTTACCAAGCCGTGCTCTGGCCAGCATGGTACAAGGCGCTGGGGATGTGGAGCGGACCCCTGTCCTCAAGGCACGTAACATCCCCCCGGGGGAGACAGTCCACGTAAAGGTCTGATTCCAGTACAGCGCCATCAGTGGTGGGAGAGAGACGAGCACGGGGAGCTGTTGTTGGGAGAGCTCAGAGCTTTGAGCCGAATCTTGGAGGCTGCGTAGGATTCAGAGAGGGGACAGGGAGGTGGCAAAGCCGGATATTCCTGGCACAGGTATGAGACGTGTCAGGGAGGGGAGCATAGTCATTCAGAGAACAGTCCAGAAGGTCAGCGTGGCTGGAGTATGGGGAGTGGGGTGAGGACCTGGATAGATGGCAGCCCTGGAGTGAGGTGGATGGGTGCCCGGGGGAGCAGAGGCCCTGCTCCGGTGTTCGAGGAAGACATGAGGAGGGCCTCGGCTAAGGCACAGTGTGGGGAGAGTAAAGAAGCAGGGTCTAGGGTGCTGGAGGAGGGGAGTCCTTGGTGTGTGGCAGTTTGTGGGTGCGAGTAAAGAGCGTCAGGGGTGACGCCAGGTTTCAGCTAGGTCAGTGAAGTGGGTGGTGGACATGCTCTCTGCCATCAGGAGCACATCCACGGAGCCAGTTGGGGGACTGGGGACTTGGGGCCGAGGGTGTGGGCTGTGTAGTCCCTGTGGGGCACTCACAAGCAGCAGGACGTGAGAGTGGAAGACGGTGGCCCAACTAGAGAGTCTAATTGGCGAGCCACCAGCCTCCAGGCTGAAATCTCTGGAACGGACAAGCCCGTCCAGGGAGGGCGCAGCTCAAGACAGGAGGGCAGCCGAGAGTGGAACTTTGGGGAGCACTGACTGTAGGTGCAGTTTGGGGAGCTGGTGCCGATGGGCAGGGGCAGCGCTGTCACTCCCCCCTAGAGCCCCCCCATCCCTGGGAGCCCTCTTGGCCCCACCGCCTGCCCCCTCAGCCCGTCTCTCTCTGCTGCAGCACCTGCCTGCACGTGGTGGAGCCGATGCCCGTGCCCGGCCACGACGTGGAGGCCTACTGCCTGCTGTGCGAGTGCAGGTACGAGGAGCGCAGCACCACCACCATCAAGGTAACAAAAGGCCTGAGAGCCGCTCGGCCCTGCCCTCCTCCCCAGCCTTGCCCCGAACCACAGTCTCTGCCCTGTTCTGCAGCGTTCAGGGTGGCCATGGGACTGGCTTCTAGGCTGCTTAGTCATGGATACAGGGACTACGTCCCACCCCCTCTGACCGGCGTCGGGTGGCCCGTCACACCTGGAGCTGAGAGCCTGGAGAGGCGCTCGCCGCCCTCCTTCCTCCCTTCTCTCTGGTTTTTCCCTTCCTCTCTCTGCTCCGTTCATTCAGCACACGTCTCTCAGCGCCTGCTGTCTGGGCACCGTGCAGGGTGCTGGGACTAGAGGTCAGCCTGCCTGACCGGACCTTACAGTCCAGTGAAGCTTCCGGAGTGACGTCAGACTGCTCGGAAAGGCTCTGAGAGCTGTGGGCCAGGCCTGGTGTCGGGGGCCGGGCCCTGGGCGGGAGGGCTTAGGCTGATTCCCTGGCTTTTCCTGAACTTTGTTCTCGGGGGTCACTGGTGGGTTCAGGAGCGAAGTGGTGGACATGGCCACCACAGGAAGTGAGGCCAGGAGGGGCCTGGTCCCTTGCTCTGCCTCCAGGTGGGACTTGACTGGACCACGGCTCGCTCTGGCAGAGCCTGGTCCCCCCAGACCCTCCCAGGTCTCCCAGTCCAGGTTCTCACGATCATGAGCCAGCTGTGCTTTCTGAGTTCAAGCGTAAGCCCTTTCTGGTCCAGTTTTTAAGCTTGTTTCTGCTTGTCCTGTGAAGAGTCTAGAAATAGCATTGGGAAAGAACTCAGGAACTTCACGACACCACTGAGTCCTCCGTCAGGTTCCCCTTTGGGGGCACATCAGAGGGGAGGTGGTCCTCACCGCTGTCCTCCCTGCCTGCCCAGGGAGCCGGCAGCTCCTTGCCCGCCCTGTGGTCCTGTGTCCTCCCCTTTCCGATGGAGGGCGGCTGCCTGTCCCCCACCCCTGTCACCGCCCTGTTGAGCAGTGCAGACTCAGCTCCTTTCATCCTCCGCCCGGTCCTCCCCTCCTGGAGCCAGCTCTCTCCTTCTCTGAACTTGCTCCAGGGCCCCCACCCTCTGACACCTCAAATTCTGAGCCAGATGTCGCCTCTCCCTATTTGGTGGGGAAGGGACTTCCCGACATGGGGACCTCATCAGATGCACTTCCTAATCCCTCAGATTTCCCTCTAGCCCTTCTCCCCAGGGGACCCCCCACCTTCAGCCTCTCAGAGACTCAGGCTCCATTCCCCTCCCCGCTCCCCGGGGCACAGGCAACAGGTCTGGTCATCTACCCTGTTTATAGAGGTCTGAACGCTGATACCCCCGTCGCAGAGGAAGTTGGTCCAGGTGGACTTGGCTGTTGACTGAGTGGGGCCCCAAACCAAAAACCCAAGGTTCCTTTTATCCCTCCTCACAGTCAGTTTAGGGCCAAGGCTAGGACTGAAGCCAGTGACGGCCCCACGTTTGAAAGTAGAAAAAGCATTTGGGATGGAGTCAGCAGACTTGGGCTCACGTTACATCTCTGCCATTTACTAGCCTTGGGACCTGGTGGTTCTCAATCGGGGTTCCTGCCCCCCAGGACATTGAGAGTTGAGTGAAGGTGCTTCTGTGGCCCCAATACCTACACCGTTGCAGGGACCATGGATGCTGAATGCCTTGGAGAGTCCTGTCTTAAATGCCCAGCGTACCCATGTGGGGAAGCATTGAATTGGCCTTGTTGAATATGTCTTTTCTGTAAAACAGAGATGATTCCAGCATGAGGGGCTCTCCGTGTATGTGAGAGATCCGTGGAGTTGTCCTCCTGCCCCGGCTGTCTCCTCCTTGCAGGGTGGCCGATGGGGGTGGACGTGGTCTGCAGCCATCAGTGCCTCCTTGTCAGCCTGTCCCGCTGGCGGGCCCTCGGCACTGAAGCGTCCCTCCATTCTTCCCGCAGGGCAGTGGGGTGGGCCCCCGCGCCCAGGCTCCTTCTCCTTGGCCTCTGCACCCACCGGTCCTCCCTACTCTCACTTAGTGGCCCACTGCTTTCCACCCTTTGTAATAGACTCCTCCGTAGCAGGAGGGCCCTGTTTCCCCGCTCCCTGGCCCTGGGAGCATCTTGGGGTGTCTGGATGTAGACTCCTTCTTTATTATCTGTCGTCTGTGCCTGCCAGGGAAGTGAGTGTTCTTGTGGGACCCCTCAGTTTGGGGCAGAGTTAGTAAATGTGCAGAGCAGGCACGCTGCCCCTTCCTGGCCTCTCTCCCTCCAGGCCCACGTGGACTCAGCCCTTCCAAGCGCAGCACTTGGGGCAGTCACAGCCGTGGAACGCAGATGCTAGTGTGCTGCTCATACGTCTGCTTCCTCCCCAGGTCATCATTGTCATCTACCTGTCAGTGGTGGGGGCCCTCCTGCTCTACATGGCCTTCCTGATGCTGGTGGATCCTCTGATTCGAAAGCCAGATGCATACACGGAACAGCTGCACAATGAGGAGGAGAACGAGGTAACGGGGCTCTGGGGCCAGGCCCAGGGCAGAAGCAGAACGGCACCGCCGGGGCCTGCTTGGGGATCCGTGTCCCCTGCCGTGCTCCAGTTTGCTCTTCTGCCCGGTGTCCCACACGTCCCCCAGACCCAGTTGTTTCTCCCGCAGGGACGGCTCTTTGCACTTACAGGTGGAACAGGCGGCAGCCCTGAATTTCTTCTGACGTCTGGCTCCGGGCGGCCTCGGTGCACAAGCCGGGGGAGCTGCACCTGCCTGTGCGACCACGTTTCTAGCACAGGAGACGTGAACCCACCAGGCCGGTCACACGTAGAGACGCCTAGTATCCCGGTTGCTCACACGTTGTGTCGGGTTCTGGTGGACTTGGTGGTGCCGGGCTTATCCTTCAGATTCTGCAGAACTCTGTTGAGCACCTGCTCAGTGCAGACGTGGCCCTGGGGCCCTGATGAGAGCCAGCAAGGATGCAGTGGTACGAGGTGGGAAACCACCTACGCCCGAGGAACCCTGAGTGTTTCAGGGGTAAGGCAGGAGGGAGGACTAGAGGCACATGGAGCTGGCCGGGAGACTTCGGCCAGATTACTAAAGGCCTCAAAAGTCAAGCTGAGGAGTTTCAGCTTCACGAGATAAGGAAGATGGGAACCGCTGATACCAGGCAGCCCACAGGCCCATCGAGCACTCACACTGTGGTGGGCTGGCCAGGCTAGTGCAGGTCAGTCACAGCTAACAGTCACCCTCTCTTTCCCCCAGCCCCATCCTGAGGAGTTTGAGGTCTGGGGAACAGCTCTTGGTGGGAGCGGGAAGTGGTGTACACTGTGCAGCCTGCCGGGCAGAGTGGTAAGGGGCCGCGCTCCCCAGGGAGTCTGGGGGAGTCTCCTGACCCGCGTGCCCCCAGCTCCCCCTGCAGGCCCATACAGCCGCCAGTTGTGTGAACCAGACAGCGGTGAGTCAGGAGGGTCGCCGAGCAGAGCAGGCAGTCTCAGAGCGGTGGGATCTGCAGGCAGGCAGGGCTGTACTGCTGTCTGCCCTGTGGACGGCTCCGGGAAGCTGTGGAGGGCACGGGCGGCTGCCAGCTCTATGCCAAGGGCCTCCTGCTGCTGGGAGGGCCTCCGGTGGTTTATCCCCAGAGTGAGGGAGGGAGAGCGAGCCGGCGGGGGTATAGGGGGTTCCAGTGGTGAAGCCCCGCCATGTCCCGGGGGAGTTAGTTGAAGAAACTGGGAGATGTTTAGCTTGAAGAAAAAACAAGAACCAAACTCATAGAGGCAGCAGCCTTCAGAGGCATGCAGAGGAGAGCTTGACCTCTTTCTGGGTGAAGCCAGGGTCTGAGGACCCAGAACTGGGAGTGAGAAGGAGATTTAACACTGTGAGGAGGAGTCTTCCTGCAGACGATGCGCGGGGTGGGTGGGCTCCCTCATAAGGCGGTGAGTCCAGGGTCACTAGAGGTCACCAGGTGTAGGCTGAACTGTCCTCAGCAGTCACAGGTTGGAGGATTTCAGGCACTGGACTGGAGGCGGGAAAGGGCAGTTCCCCCAAGAAGAGGGTCCAGGGCTCAGATCCCTCTATGAAGCTGCAAGCCGAGTGAGTCTGGGCCTGCATGAGGTGAGGGAGGGCGAGAGGCCTGGCCGCACCACGGCCCATACTTCTCCTGGGTACGTGCCTGGACCGTTCCCAGTCTGCCCCCAGCCTCCTGCTGACATGAGCTTGGCCAGAGGTGGAGCAGAGAGGGTGGGCCTCGCCCCACTGGAACTGGGGCCTGGGAGGCAGTGGCATTGGCAGTTGGGTGGTCTGTGTTCATGAGGAAACCTTGCGTGCCTACCTGGTTATTAATGTACAGTAATAGCAGCTCTGATGGGGGCGCATCGCTAATGAACACTCTGCGATCAGGGTAACGTGGTAATTGCAGTCCTGGCTGCGGAGTAATTGAGAGACGCGGCCGCTGATTACACAGCTTGAGCTGCCTAGTCCCTGGAATGTATGGCCCTGGGGCACGGCCTTGTTGTGTCTCCTGCCGTCCTGGATACGGAGCCAGAGGGCTGGGCAGTTTGCCGCCTTTGGGTCTGAGCCCAGGCCCCTCTCCCCTGAGAGACCTGAGGGCTCCCCACTTTGAGTCTTAAGTCATGGCCGCCTCTGTTTGTGGGAGGGAGGCCTTGGGGCGGGGGGAGTGGGTAGAGTTGGTCAGTGTAGTCCTGGGAGCGGAGCCTGTATCGCAGGGTGGACATTTCCTGGGGGCAGATGCAGGCTGAGTAGGAAGCATTGTCCATCAAGGGGCACTGTCCGGCCATGTGTTGGGGGTCCCTGGGAGGACAGTGGGCCCCGCGGGCAGCTCTCAGGCTAAAGCTGGCAAGCCCGTGCTCCGTGCTGTGGAGGAGATTCCTGTTCTGGGAGGGTAGAGGGGGAGTGGATGACACCTCCACCCGAGGTTCTAGAATTAGTAGAAAGTGTGTTCAGTCTCTGATACCCCAGCCTGAGGTGCAGCCAGCTCTGCACAGATGTGCGGGCAGGCAGTGCCCTGGGGGTGGTTAAGGGGCATCCTCAGGGCAGCTGCGAGTGTGGTCTGCGCTGCTCCCCTCGTGACTCTGGTATCCCCGTCTCAGGTGCCCCTGTCTCATCCCTTCCTGGAGTCCAGTGGTTCCATTCCTCTCCCGTGCACGTGGCTTCCCTTCCTCTTGCTGGTCTCAAAAGTTGTGCAGGTGGCACGTGTGCATTCACAGACCCCTGTCTGTCCTTGGGGGTTTAAGCCCCAGGACAGAACCCAAACCGGGTGAATGAGCAGGGAACCTAGGGGCAGTCGGTGGACCAGGAGTTAGGAGATGGGCCACCATGGAGAGAGCTGGCCGCTTTGGGAGGCCATTTACCAGACAAAGGTTGGAGGACTTCTCCTTCTCTTTGTACTGTCTGGGAAGGAAGGCTTCCTGGCAGAGGGGGGTCTTCAGAGCCAGCTCAAAGGATGGATGAGACTCAGTCACCGCTATGGTGGCTGTGTCCTGCATGGTAAGGGGTCCTTGCTGACCCTCCGGTCTCGTTGCACGTGCAGGTGGGGTAGGGGGAGGTGCCACCTGGCTGAGCAGCGGCAGAGCTGGGGCTGAGGCTGCCTCTGGGTTTATTAGTGGTCTGGAGAGTGTTTCCCTTAAGAAGGCCGGGGCCTCCCTAGGGTAGGGGGACTTGGCTTTCACCCCAAGAGGAAGAAAGCCTTGGGTTCTCTGAAGGTCACCTCAGCCCGTACAACTCAGTGACCTTGAGGGGGAAACTCGCTAGGCTCCAGGGCTCTCCCCAGTAGTCTGGGACCTGGTCCGAGGTGAGATCTGGAGGTGGGCTCTCTTCCTGGGACGGGCTGCATCCTCCCGATTCTCCTGCCCTGGTCTGGAGGCCGGGAGGAGGGAGAGAGGGCTCCCCCACAGCACCAGCCCCAGCCCCAGCCCCAGGAGGAGATGAAAGCCCGTGGTGGCCCTTTGAAAGCGCTGGCAGGCCTCAGGGGCCCTGATTGCCGGGCGGGCGCTGCCTCCCGGGATGCCAGCAGCATTAGGATAATCCCCGGCTCAGACGCCCTTTGAAAGGAGGAAGTGAGCGTGTTTGCTGGGACGAGCTGCCTTAGATGTGCAGGTTGGGCTCTTTGAAGAGAGAGAAGTGAGGGTTTCTAGGAGGCTCCGGGTGTCTCTGCTGCTCCCAGCACGGCCCCTCTGCGCTCTGAAGGGGTCCTCAAAGATCTCTCCTGCGGGGCGTGGCTGCCGTCCTGGGCCCCTTGTGGGAGAGGGGTGCAGAGGGTCAAGCGAAGATGACAGCGATAGTGATGGAGGTGGCGCCTAGGCACAGGGGGGCTGTGGAGAAGAGAAGGCTTGGGGCACCGAGCGCCCCACTTCCTTCCAGGGACGGTTGGGCGGCACCGTGTGCTCAGGGCCTGGCCCTGGGACTGACACAGACACTTCTCTCCTCTCCTCTGGGGACAGACGGGAGGGGTGCAAGTGGGTAGACATTTCTGGAGCAGCCATCAGGCCTCACAGCACTGTCATCAGGAGCAGGGCTTCAGCTCGTAGTTCTAGGGGGGAGTCCAGCTCTGCCACTTGCTGTCCGCGGTGTCAACTGCCAGGTTCAGTTTTGTGAGTCTGGAATGGGCGCGATGGTCCCTGTCAGCATATTGTCGTGACCTTGTGTGTGCCAGAGCTACCGTGTGTGTTCCTCCTTCAGAAGGAGGTATCTCAGGCAGAGCTTAACACTTGGGTAGCATGATCTCATTGGAGGGAAAGCTGGGGGGCACAGCAGAGGCCTGGCAGCGAGGCGGCCACGGTGCAGAGAAAGGCCACGTGGAACAGTGTGACCAGAGGACAGGAGGCAGGGGAGGCGAGGCCAGGCTGCAGGGGAGACCAGCTCGGAAGGCGCAGATGCCGAGCTTGGGGCATTTTATCCGTGAGCAGCTGGGGCACCAGGCCAGGCTTCTGAGCAAGGATGGCTGTGTGGTATGTGACAGCGTCAGAAGGTGACAGACAGCAGCGTGGGGGCGACAGGAGAGCCTCGCGGCCTGAGGCCATGGGGCTGGCTGCCGCAGGAGGATTCGGGTTATACTTGAGGACTGAGCTAGGCTGTAGGGCTCTGCACTCGGCCCTTCTTAGCCGTGTGGGTCCTGCCTCCCCTAGGACTGGGGCTGAGGGCTGGCCGCCTGAAGTGGGGGTTCTCTTTCCTCATCTCCTTGTCGCCCCAGAGCCTCAGGTCCAGTCCAGAGCTGACTCAGAACCAGCACTTCCCAGCAGGCTGAGGAGGGTTCACCCGGGATGGTTTGAGGGGCTCATAGCTAGTTTATCAGCTCAGTCTCATCCATATGAATATTTGGGGTCTCCCAGGGCTGGGGACGGGGCCTAGCCGGCAGTGCCTGCTCTCTGGTGCCTTTCCTGCTCTCACCTTCGGGGAAGATATCAGTCTGCTTCTTGGGTTTTCCATGTTGGCCAAAGAGGGACGAGCCACGTCCTGGGGTAAGAGATGTGCGGACGTGGGTTCAGGTCCCGGTTCAGCCGCTGAACCGCTGTGAGACCTTGGGCAGTGAGATGATTCGTCTTCCGAAGCTGTAGTTTCCTCATCCCCAGCTGGGAATAACGTCACCCACGTGCCAGTCTTGTGGGCCTGGGCGTGATCCGTGTGGAGTTCCCCGCACGGCACCTGGTACACAGGGGCGTCATCACTATCACACTTGTCTGGTTCCTCTGGGTGGCCCCTGGGAGCCCGTCGGCATCCAAGCGCCCCCTCCTGATTGGCCTCCCCCCCCTTCACTGCCCCTCCACCTCCCCAAGTGGCCCGAAGACCTAACCTTAGAGGTGGGAAATGGTGGCCTTTCTCCTGCCGCCAGCCGCCATCCTGCTGCAGAGCAGGCGAGGATGAGCGCGCTCTGGGCCGTCTCTAGAGCAGATGTGGTCTTTAATACCTTTTAATCAGACTATTAGCTTTGGGAACACAGAGCTCTCAGCAGCAGCTTCCCTCAGTTAGGAGCTGTTTGTTAAGACTTTACATGAGAGGAGAACAAATGATGCCGTGGTACTGCGGTGAATTCCAGCGTGTTCCCTTAATGCTCTGCCTGGCGCCCCTGGCGTCCCTGCTCAAGACGCTCTCCCGAGATGCGAGCCGCGCAGGCAGAAGCAGGGCTGAAGCCTTCCCACCCGCCCCACCTGCCTCCCAGTGCCCGCTTCTCAGGGTCACACCCCTCCCTCCTCGCTGGTCTCAGAAGGGACAAGATGGGGACTGGGGGGAGAAGCCCCTCTGGCCCCGAAGCCAGGAGAGCTAGGTGCTGATGGGCCAGCAGCGTCCCGAGTGGGTCTTCACGCCCATCCCGCCTAGATGGCCTTGCGGAGCTTGTTCCAGCCCCGGGGAGCGCTTGGTTGGCGCAGCTGAAGTGGGAAGGAATGGACTTGAAAGGAGGTGCGACACCACAGTCATTATTCCAAGGCCACAGGCTGCCAGCTTCCCCCTCCCCCCCAGGAGACCCCAGAGCTGGGGTGCGATATTAGTAATTGCTGCTGATCTTCGAGTGCTCGCTATCTGCCAGGTGCTGCCAGAGGCTTCACGTTCATTGTCTCACTGAAAAGAGAACTAGGAAGGGAAATAGGCTCAGAGGACGAGGTGACTGGCCCAAGGTCGTAACCAGTAGGTGCAGAGCCGGATGCACAGCCAGGCTTGTTTGATTCCAGAGAGTTCTCCAGCGCTGTGCTAAGCTGCGGAGCAAAAGGAAACTGGACACTCTGGAGCTCCTGTCTGTGACCACCAGCCTCCTTAGGATTTTGCGTTTACGATCTTGTGTAACCTGCTGTGCCCATCTCCTGATCGTGAACCAGGGTTTTTCAAACTGTAGGTTACGACCCGTGAGGTCATGAAGTCAGTTTGGGAATCACGACCAGCATTTCAAAACATGAAATGGAGCAGAGCAGAGAGTGTCACAATGCATCAGACTAAGTGTCTCATGGAACTTTTTGATTTGTGTGTGTGTGTGTGTGTGCACACGCGCACGTGCACACGTGCTTGTTAGCTCATCAGGTAACGTAATTTCTGCTGACAGTATGGTCAAAGTCTGAACAGACTGGCGTTGTTAAATCGAGGCTTGGAGAAATAAAGTTGCTTGTCAGGGACACACAGTTGCCCAGTGTGGGGGCTTCGCTCTGCTCCAGCTCCCACGGTAGACCTGTGGGATGGGCTGGGGAGCCTGGGGCTGGAGGAGAGGGTGGCCCCTCAGCCCAGGCATGGAGCCCGGGGTCCTGACTCCACGCGCGGGGTGCCCCTGCTGATGCTGCCGGCACCTGCCTCCCAGGTGTGATTCTCACCTGGCCTGGCAGAGGGAGGGTCCTCGGGTCCTGGACATGGGGCTCCTGGGGGCCGTGTCCATCTCTAACTCACTGTGGGCTCTGCTCACAAGATGAGTGACTCGGCTCTGCGGCGACAGTGAACCACCTCCCAGCCTCACCTCCAGCCACCTCTCGCCCCCACCCACGCTCGCCTAACCCCACCTCCCTCCCCGCCTGGCAGCTGCATGGCGATAGAAGCCGTGCCAGCTCTGGGTGTTAGAAGCAAAGTTGCATTCACTGGGCGGCCCCGGGCTTAGAGAGGTGCGCTAATCCCTTAAGAGACATGTGGCAGGAGATGAGAGGCAGGCAGAGCCAGGGAGGAAATCCCCGCGGGGGTGTGGGCCTGGCCCTGGGCTCTAATTCCCCCAAAGATCAGGCTTGGGTCCTGCAGGAAATGCGCGGGCTCCGGCGTCAGGGGCAGAGAAGTGGTAATTAGGGGAGGATGCGGCCTTTGACAGAAACAGTTCTGAAAGCAAAGGGGAGGGGGCCGTGCAGGCGGGTGGGGAAGGAGCCAGCTCTCTCAACTGTCACAGCAGAGAGTGGGCCAGAGCCGGCACTGGAATGGGATGCTGGGGTCCAGCTCCGAATTTCCATCCCTGCCAGACTCCCTGATGAAGGTCACATCCCTTCTTTCCCAGGAGAATGAGCTGGGTGTCCCAGCCCGTGAGCAGATCCTGTGGGTCACCCTCTGTGCAGGCCCTTCGTGGCCCTCCTCCCGCCCAGAGTGGATGGGCGGCCATCTCTGGGCAGCCAGGCCCTACCCCTGGGCCCTCCTTTGTCCCTGGGCGGTGGCGGCAGGGCAAGGGAGTTCTGCAGCCCAGTGCCAGCCTCGGGACACAAGGATGCACTTCCTCACATAAGTGTCACAAGTCCCCAGCACTAATAAGTGAGGTCCTGAGGCCAGCACTCAGTATTCTCTCAAGGGTTAGAAACAGCTTGGGGGGCGCAGCTGGGCACCTGACGAGCTGGCTGTGCCGCAGCTGGGGCCCCAGATCACAGTCCTCCTGGGGTCCCCCCTTCCCAGGCCCCATCCTCCAAATTCTACAAGCAAGGGGCCTCCGGCTGGCCAGGCGCGCTGTGCTGGGCCCTGCGTGCGACTAGGCAAGGCCCTCAAGAGCCCGCGGCCCTTGGGGAGCGCCCACCTCCCAGCTGGGGGTAGTTCAGACTTGGGGTTGTTCTCAGGGCGTGGGTACCGTGTTAGCTTTCGAGACCCCTCTGGCTCACAGTGCCATATCTTCCCGTTTTTGTCCCACTGCAGGACGCTCGCTCTGCGGCCGTCGCCGCTGCCTCCTTCGGGGGCCCCCGAGCAAACACGGTCCTGGAGCGCGTGGAGGGCGCGCAGCAGCGGTGGAAGCTGCAGGTGCAGGAGCAGCGGAAGACGGTCTTCGATCGGCACAAGATGCTCAGCTAGAGGGGCCGGCGCAGTCGGGTCAAGGACCAGAGGCCACGGCTGCCACGTCCACGGCTCGCGGAGCCAGAGGCCACTCTTCTGTCCCTCACTGCCACCTTCCTGGGCCTTCCCTTTGAAAGCATTTTCCCCCCTTCTCTCTCTCTCTAGGAATGTCGTTCCCAGCTGATTTAATTCGGGAAGACATGGGGTCCCTGATCTCCAGTTTGCCTGCTCAGGTCCTCGGGCTTGAGGGGTGAGGAGGGCCGGCCAAGAGGGAATGGGCACGTCTTGGGTGGCCTCGGGGTGGAAGGAGCCTGTCCTTGTTCCACCCTTGCCGCCCTGCAGCTGCAGATCCCGGGAAGGTCACTACCCTCTGGGAGGTCGAGCTGGGTCATCAGGACTCAGCGTGTGGGAGGAAAGCCTGGCCCCACATCAGCATGTGCTGCTTGCTGCTGTGTTCAGCGGCACCTTCCTCCCACCCCGATGCCTGCCTTCTACCCCACGTGGCCTGGCTCAGCTCTCAGGATGGCGCTGATGGGGGAGCTGGTGGCACGGAGCCCCACTCTGGTCTCCAGGCGCCTGGCCGCTCGCCCCAGCTTCCTCCTGCCCTGTGCTCTCCCACCCACGCGTGGCGGTGTCCGTGCACCTCGCTTCCGCTGCTGCCCAGCCCCTCATGCCCACTCAGGAGGCTGGGCAGCCCCCCACCTCCCCGAGTCTGCAGTCGCCGAGCTAGACGGTTGGTGGGAGCACACAGCACGAGGCCGGGCGGTGGCTCTGGATACCGGAGGCCCCGTCCTCGGATGGCCACTTGTCCCTGAATGTCATTGCACCAGTGCATGGAGAGACGTGCTCGTTCTGCCGTTGTCTGTAGATCAAGGAAGCCATCATTAAATTGTCTTATTTCTGTCACGTTCTGGATTTCAGGAGATTAATTAGAGAACTGAGTGTTCCACATGTGACTTGGTGAGCACTGCGTCCCAGAGAGAGGACAGAGCGTTGTCCTTGACAGGTCCAGGAGGGAGGCGGACCTGGCCGTCTGGTGGCTGTGGCAGAGTCCAGGTGGAGGTCCGGGGCTGGCCGGGAGGCCTGCTCACTGACTGGGAGGGGCTGGCAGGCGGGGTGCTGCCCCTCACGGCTGCTGTCACTGCAAGGAGCGGGCGTGGAGTGACCTGGGAGTGACCTGAGCTGTGGTTTGGGTTCATCTTTGTGGGAGGTTCCCTGAAACTCTGAGTGGTGTCCACTGTCAGGCTCCTGCAGACACAGGAAGTGATGCTCACTGCGAAGCTCCTGAGGCTTCCCAGGTGACACCAGCAGGTGTTCAGAGGGGGCAGCCGGGGAAACAGCTGCCCAGCAGAAAGTGGGAGCAGCTTTGGGCCATGCTCGGAGGAGCCCAGCGCCGGGTCCGCTCCCTCCTACCAGGAAGCATGGTGCGGGCACCGGAGCCCAGGCAGAGACACGGGGCCTGGAGGGGCCAGTGGGATCTGATGGAAGTTTCTGTCCTCGGGGGTGATCTGACTAAGCTTGTGTTGAGGACCTCGTGTAGGCGCCAGGTTGGGTTCTTGGTGATGGGTGGGGGCCGAGAGGACAACGTGCGGGGGCACCTCGGATTGCAGAGATTTGCCCAAGTTCAGAGCCGAGTACAAGTACTAAAGGGGTGGGGCTGACCTGCAGATGGGCCCCAGAGGAGCGGAGCCTTTGGAGTTGGCGTTGGAAGCCCACAGGGGCACAGCCGAGAGAGGACCAAGTGATGGTGGGGTCCTGACTGCTCAGCCAGCGTGAAGTTTGTGGGGGCCAAACGGGAGGTCCATGAGCTGCAAATGCAGGGCCGGGGCAGAGGAGCCAGCACTGGTGACACTTCTGCCCTCTCCATCTGCCTGGCACACACCTGGCGCCTGCTCGAGCAACGCGCTACTTTGGAAGCTTCAGGCCATCGAATTCTTTCAAGAGGCAGGCGAAATCAGGGCTTTCCAAAGGTGAGCAGATGGGTGTGTGAACTTGCCAAGAATAACCAATCCAAAAATGGGCGTCTGACACATCCTCCCTCTAAAGCCTCACGGCCTGGGAACCTCAAGTGCTGCATTGCTCTGAATCTTTGTAAGTCCTGCAGATGATCCAACCAGTCTTAGGTAGATGTAAGGATTTAGTCTGAAGCAAGCAGCTGTTACTAACTATAAATAAGCTCAGTGTAGGAAAGTAAATTAATATAAAAGATTAGGAATAACTGTTCACTTTACGTAAAGAGTCAACTAGTAACCCAGTGTCTACATACGCTTCACCTTACACGCAGACAGCTATACCGGGGTGTGCTCACCATCTTTCTATGAACAATGAAGGAGAGAGCCCCTCAGAGGGAGAGTTGACTGCTTTGCTGATCATCTGAACAGAGATTAGAGTCCCACACCAAATTACGGAAACGATCAGAAGTTCCACTCTTCATCCCGTCTCGTGTGGTGGGAAATGAACGTTGGTGTCACTGCGCTCAGAATCCTGCTTGTCTCTCGTTGAGCCCGCCCGCCGTGCTGGCCTGCAGTGGATTGTCCCACCTGGGAAACCTGGTGGGGTTTGGCCCTGGGGACCAGAGCCTCAGAGCTGGTCTCCACAGTTGGAGGCTGGCACTCGTCCTTCACGTGGCTCGGAGGGCAGTGACCCATGTAGGGAATGGAGAGGTGAGGCCGCTTCCTCCAGGCCTCTTCCTTCCTCACTCGCCAACTCCATCTCCCCTGCACTCTTGTTTCCTCGCATCCATCCTGCATCTGCCGGCAGAACCCCAACCGTGGGTATGTCACCCAGCCTGACTCCTCTGCTCCTCCCTGGGCAGCTCAGCTCTGCTTACAAGAGGCCGAGTAGGGCCCTGCGGGTTTGTTTGTGGTTTCCAGCTCCATCTCCCGCCCCCGCCCCCCGCGGCGACCATTAATCCTTGCTTGAGGCTCTCCCTCTCGAGGTCACTAGGCAACCTTCCTGTATTTCCCCTGTCCCTTTCCCTAGAAAATCTTGCCTTCCTACTTCAAGAAAACCAAGGCTATTAGATGTGATCTCTCATCTTCCTTACCCCCACCTGCACATTTTTCTTTGTGCCTATCTTACCTCCTCTGCTATGGTCTTGGACAGAGCTTGTCCCTCCTGCTCAAAGCCGACCCGCCCATCCCCTCTCCCTGCTGCCTCCATCATCTCTCCACCCTGTTTCCTGGTGCTTCTCAGCCCAGCAACATGCTCAACTCTCCTGCCCTACGAAGAACCTTCCACAGGCTCCAGGCCCCCCTCTGGCTGCGGTGGAGTCTCCTCGCTGTCTCCACGTCCTCCACCTTCCACTTGGTCCTTCACCCGAGCCCTCTGCAGGCAAGGTCCGTGATGACTGTAATTGCCAGACCCAGAGCGTGGCCTTGGTTCTGGTCTCTCTGGCCTTCACTGCTACATTGATGCCGTGGTCCTCCTCCTGTCATGAAATTCTTGGCTCCGGGACCTTGTGTCTGTGGTTCTCCTTGCCCTTTCTGACTATCTGTCACTTCTCCCTAAATCTTGTTATTTCCCAGGCTTCTGTTCTCAGCTTACTCAGCTCAATCTAGAACTTACCGTCTAAGTCCCCTCTCTGAAAGTCTTTTCTCTTCTCTGGTTTCCTGGTGTTAATTCTGGAATCTCTCTCTCCAGCCCAGACCTGACTCCAGTTCCAGCCTTGTCTCCCTGGCTCTCAGCTGGACTCCCCCCACCGGGGGCCACAGAGCCTGTCACAGTCGGATGTCCAAGAATAAGCTCATCTTTGCCCAGAAATTGGCTTATCTATTTTCTTTATCTATTTGCTTTATCTGAATTGGTGATACCACCACCCACCAAGTCGTTCAAGCCAGAAACCCGGAGATCGTTCAATTCTTGACTCTCCCCTGCTCTGTGGCCCCCACGTCCGGTCAGTCACAAAGTCCCGCCAACTTCACCTCCAGATATTTGGGGAATCCTCCAGTCCCCTCCGCCCCTACACCCACTGCCCAGGTTGTGCCCTCATCGTTTCTCATGGGACTACTGCGGTTCTCGTCAGGAGCTGCCCGAGTTCTTGCTTTTCATCTGATCTCGTCACTTCCCTCCTTCAAAACTATCAAGGGCTCCCTATTTCCTAAGGCTTGGGTTCTTTATTGAGGCCTACAAGGCCTCGAGGCCATGATCTGTGCTCCCCTCTGGCCTTTAGCCCCAGAACCAGTTGGCAGGAGTTACTGGGGGCCCTGCCGGCCCTTGGAAGGGGGGAGTTGGTGGGCCCTACGGGTACCTTCTCGCCAGGGTGGGTGCCGCTCTCGGGGGCCAGGGATGCAGCTGATCGCAAGCTGCCCGGAGGTCTGCGTCTTAGGTGGGGGGCACGGGCAGAAGCTGACTCAGGCTTGCCACCAGCTCCCACCATTCACCGCCCTGCCGGGGTCTGAGGAGTGAGCAGAGCTTGAAGAAGTGATGGGGGGAGGAAGAAGATGCCAGACCTGTGCTTCTCTGTCTGTTCCTGGGCATTTGCTCCCATGCACAGGCGACGCCCACAGGCTGCAGGGAGCCCTCGGGGTGGGGTGGACGGAGGACCGGCCTGAAAGCCAAACGGACCAGGCTTCTCGACCCCGCTGGCCCTCTGGCCATCCCTCAGCCCTCTGAGCCGGTCTCCTCATCTGTAGGATGAGGCCCAGGGCCCGCCCGTAGCCGTGCTCATCAAGTGAGGCCTGCAATTCCAGGGGCTGCACGGAAACCTCCCCAGAAGTCCAGACCTCCTGTCAGTGGAGCAGGTTTCAGAGCACGAACCCTGAGCCAGCAGCCCGGGTGCAGATGCCCCTCTGCTCCTTACCAGCCGGGCAACCTCAAGTGCGTTTTAAAGCCTCGCATGCCTCCCTTTCCTTGCTGCGAGGTGGGATGCCTCCCACTGCACGGGGTTGCCGTGAGGAGTAGATTGTTAACGTGCATGAAAGGCTCAGAGCGACCCAACACAGCGGTCAGCACTCACCGCAGCTGCTGTTGTTGACACGCTTATTACCCTCATGGCACGGCCTCCCCCCACCCCCCACCCCAGCAGGCCGAGGTTCTGTAGAGTCAGCAGGGACGCCCTGCTCAGTGTGGTCAGTCAGGGGCC